CGTGATAAGTCAGCACTTAAAGTTAAAAACTTCATTGGTGCCGGTACCGGGGATCTAACTCAGGTTGCTCGAGTATATTGAATTAAAGGTTAGCGCCCGGACACTGAGCTATCACGGCTCAAGTTAACTAATGAACGGTCAAATGGCTTTTCGAATGCTATTTGAGTTGCCAAAAGGGTGGTTAAACCCTTTGAAATCATTCTGATTCATTTCTTTGTTTTACGCGAATGTTATACCATACTAAATAAAATTATTTTAAGGATTTAAAATTAGAAGTAACGTAAATTAATAGCCTATACATATCCCACTTCTGGGCAAAGGTCTTCTGTGTACAGAGGGTATTAGGACATAGTCCAACACGCGGCCCCACTGTGGATTGGCGGATTTCAAATATTTTATTTTTTATTTATTTATTCTTTATTGAAAACACCTCAAAAGGGTTACAAAGGGCGGCCTTAATGCCTATTGGCATTCTCTACCAGTCATCCCGGGGCGTGAGAAGAAATCGTGGTAGGTGCAATAAATGAAATTGCATAATAAATTTATGTGTCTTAAATATGATTATATGCATTACACATCATATAACTCCAGAATATACAAGATATTATATAAAACTATTTTATGTAACACACCATATACAATACAAAGATATAAACATATACACATAATATATATATATATATATATATATATATATATATATATATACAAACATACATACATACATATCTTTGAAATATTTTTTTTCTTAATATATCCCGGGGGTGGTACCATGATAAGGAAACCCGGATCTGATGATGGCATCCCAGGGGATGGATATCGAGGGCCATCATTGAATGTTATAGGTATTAAAAATGTTTTTCATTTCTTGATTGAAGTCGGTTTTTTTGTTAAAAATCATACTTGTTAATTCCCATCGTATTATGAACCCCCTCCAGCGTTCATAGTCTAGTCTGTCCCGTTCAGATCCCCAGATTTATCTTATTTGTGGCCGAAATCTAAAACGCAACGAATTCGCAGATGAATTCTCTGCAATTCTCGCTATGGTTTTGTTCTGTTGTATATTCCAGGTACTTTTCTATTTCTATGAAATGCAGACAAAACACATATCTCCTAAGTATTCGTACGTAAAGTTTGGAAGCGAGAACAGACTGACGAGAAGAAACCCATGATAAACGCATCTTGGTGCGAATGTTACGGTCACACTGGAACTGATTGAGTTTAAACGGACAAATTCATAAGGAACATATTTATTTATTACCGGATTACCAGAGATTTCACATCCGATAATGAAAAGCAAAATTCTGTTTAAGACAAGCGTCCATAAAGCTGTACGCTTAACGGCTTGATTAGCAAATGTAACTAACTTGAAGGTAGCGAAAAGGCAAATTTCACTCACATGGCTATTAAAATACACGTTTCATTTGCGGTAACACTGCTTGAAGCTATGACGGTATTATAAATCCATCCAATATAGAAAATTATTTATTGAAGCCATACCATGAAATCATTATTATTCTTATGTCCAAGCATCGGCAAATAACTTTATCACCCGATATTATATGGAGGCTGCGTAAATTACGATGCAATAAAGCTATTTGCACCTTATCAGGTAAATCTATTGTTTAAACTGTGATTTTATACTGCATTAACCCAGAAGTTAATCCTTTGCCTAACATACTCTGGTATAAGTAGGGCCGTTTGGCCATTTGATCGCCAATCTTAAACAACAACCAGCACAAATGAGGTTAAGATCGGTTGTAAAAAAATATTAATTTATAAATGTTTTTTTTATTTTTGTTAAAATTAAGATTTGAGTGATGTGGCATCAAAATGTTTCGGGCAGCATCTTTCATCAGGACCTACGGCCAGGTATTTTATAATAGTACATTGTTTTATGTTTACATTATATATTGCTGAATGAAATTGGGTTAGGCAGTCGTATTCATGTTTTCCATACACGTAGTCAACAAATAATCATTATGACAGTAAATTTACATATGCTAGTAATCATCCGAATAACCCAAAAATATTTAATATTTTCTAAATGGTAATTACTTTGTTTCTTTAGATAACAATATATGCCACGGAAAAGTTTTGTTTGTTTGTTTTAATATTTAAAATTACTTTTATTATGTTATTATATATGTAGTTCAGTTAAATTTTCATTACTAATTGAAGTACAGTAATACCACGACTTATGCGAACCCGGAGTTAGTCGATTTTCAAATCTCATCAATTCGTCTTTTGTCTGACTATCAAAAACCGCAGAACTCCCAAAATTAAGAGTTGACAATTTATGAGGTCATAGAAAAGAATGAGCAATAGTAATACACAGAGGGACTTAAGTTTTTAGGCCCAGTTCAATGAGAAGTTCGAATGACAGTAGGAAATGTTACATAAGGTGATTAATTGAAAAAGGGTTCAATTTTAAAAAAAATGTAGGCTCCAACAAAGAGCGTATTTCTTCAAAGAAATTTTGCGCGAGAGAAAATTTGAGCCGGCAGACTTATTTGTTAGATTTCATGAAGGCTTGCACGTCAAAATAACTTCGGATTGTGATTTTGTATGAATATTGTACACGATTTTTTATAACAATTTTTTCCTTTTTTAGTCTCCGGTCCCAATTAATTTAATTCAGAACTTTCCTATGCCGAGGAGGTAAGGATGTCTTGGCTGTCTATCTATCCGATTTGTCAACCACACCAATTCCCTTGTGGTGTCAGTGTAGACAAATTTGGTCTCCACGGGCTTTCTTGTCACAAAAGTGCTGGCCGGTTTTCCTGTCACGGTTGCCTGAACGACATCATCCGTAGGGCTCTTGTTTCCATCAATGTTCCATCTATTTTAGAGCCCTGTGGCATTTTCGCGACGATTATAAGAGACCCGATGGTTTAACTTTCATCCCTTGGGAGAGATGTTAAGCCCTTTTTTGGGACGCCACTTGTGTAGACACTTTGGCTGCCTCTCATCTAAGGGGTACTTCGCTAGGGCCGGGGCGGCATCGGAGACAGCTGAAGTGAGTAAATGGCGCAAATATGAGTCTTTATTATGTATTTGTTTTTTTTTATTGCTGTTGAAACTTTAGTTCCGTGGGGTCCACGCACATCAAAATTTTTTAAAAGTTTATGTCCTTAACCTCAGAGTTTTGCTCGAAAATAACTCTTTTTCGTATTATTTACAAATATAAACACCAAATCTTTGGAACCAAACTTGATTTGTGTCGTGTCCGACTACTGTCAAGGTTTCGTAGGCCAAAACATTTTATCGCCTTTACTATTATTATTAACTAGCGACCCGCCCCGGCTTCGCACGGGTGCCATGGTGCCATTATATATATAAACTTTCCTTTTGAATCACTATCTAGTAAAACATAAAAAAATATTACAAAAAGAAAAATATTGACATTGATATGACTATTATATTAGATTATTATATGTACACTCCGTGGCGCAGTCGCGGGTTCTATTCCCCCACGGGACAACTATTTGTGTGACCCACAGATAGTTGTTTCGCATCTGGGTGTTTGTTCGTGTGAATTTATGTTTGTAAACCGTCCTTACAACACATTATAATGTTATCCTAAGGTAAGGACAATCTTTGAAAAAAAAGATATTTATACGACTCTAACGTCACTCAATTGTATTGCCTTCCCGGAACCCCTCCACTAACAATTACTTTATGGTATGATATTAAAGTTCAAATTGACCTATAAGTATTATTACGAATCTTTTATCTGGGAGTATAGAAAAAGGTTGTTTTTAGACTTTTTCAGGCAATTTTTAAAATGTTTCTCTCCGTAAGAACCATCCTCTTACTTCAAGGAATATTATAAAAAAAGAATTAGCGAAATCGCTTCAGCTGTTCTCGATATTTAACACATTCAACGATTCATTTTTATATATAGAGATAATATTGGTTAATCCACGAAATCTCACATTACCGTGATCAGCAACAGATTGGTAATGTAATAATGATCAAAAATAATATATATTAATAAGGGCAAAACAATTTCAATATTTCATTTCCCGCGAAATAATTTTCGTGTGACAAGTATTACAAGAAAACTTTCTTAATCTTATTTGGTTAGTATTTTTTTAGGTTTGTAAGAATCTAAATTGTGGAAATAATGTTCTAAAATAGCTTAAAACTGTTTTTTTAACAATCTTTATCTGTCTCAATTTGCACTTTGTAAATCATGTTTTTTAATTTTCGTTTTATAAAGCAATGGTGAATGGTGATTGGTGCTCGACAAGATCTGTCTATGTAAAAACATCGCTTTTCCACACGCTTGAACTACAGTTCTCTCTTTTAATTGTCATATCTAAGCACAATTTGCACCTGAAAAACGTTGACTTGTACATTATAAGGATCTCGACAATGTAATCAATCAAACGAGAATTCCGTAAAATAAAAGTATTAATTCCCAGAACGTAACGAACGATTCGCGCGGTTCCTGGCTCTCGACTGGATGGAATCCTGTTACCCCGTTATTCTTTTTACTTCGCTTACACTGCGGATCTTCACCTCGAAGCAGTTTTGCTCTTTGTTTAATATAAGTAGATGGTCCAGGCCGGTTGTGAATTGTTAACAGCACCAGGCATCATATTATTCGTTTACGGATAGAAAACTTGTTTAACGTCTACCGAACGGCTGTGAATTCTTTTTCTGTTATCGCATTAGTTTAACCTTTGCTCATTAGTAGTAATGTTAGGCATTTAATTGTTCTTCTTTTGCTGACCATTTTGCTTTTGAACAAATTTCCTTTTTATCTGTTACTACGACCAACCTAATGGTTTCCGTTTTTTTATTAGCTCATAGATTTTTATTTGTTTATACACATTTTTAGCGTCCATTTTAATCTCCTTTATAAGGTCCGTCTTCTATTTAAACGTTTTATTAAACCTAAGCAAAAAAGGTGCTGTTGACGTATCATCAAAGATTTAGTTGACGCTTTTAATTATTGAATATGTAAATGTGTAAGTACGTAATTGGAGTTAGCGGCGGGGAGCGATCAGGCTCGCTGCTCGTTCAGACTCGCTGCCGGCGGCACACCGTGCTAGGACGCCGCGCGACATGCTGCCCCCCGAGAGATCCGCTCTGCGCCCCGCCTCCGCGGTCTTCAAACGGTTGTCTCTGCGCACATTCAGCACATATACCTTAGTACGTATCCGCCGATGTTCATTCATCGCGTCCGCCTCCGCCCGCCCTACCGCGAGCCTCAAATAGTGGCCGCCCATCGCGCCCGCGACACGCGCGAGACTGGCCGTGTTCCCCGTCGCGCCGCTTACTCACCAGTCACGACGCCCGCAAATCTGTCACAGGACGCTCCGCGACGCGCTCGCGTTATTATGCGACAACCGGAGACACCATGTCGCTCCCCCCACAACTGCCGACACCAACAGGGAGTGATAACGAGTACGTGCACATAAGATGCCTTATCGCGAACATACATAGGCCCAAGAATGTTTCGAGGCCGCCCGTCGCGCAGATGGAGCCGCCGCTCGAGGTGGTACAGGAGTCGCCCGGGTCCTCGGACACGGAGCACAGCGGCTGCAGTGGTTCCGGCTCGGAGAGGTCCGAGGCGAACACCGCGGCCGACGAGCCGCCGACGCGTAGGGCCAAGAGCAACAGCTTCGCGGGGCCGATGCTGGCGCCGCCCGTGCTGCAGCACCACAAACGGCGGCGACCGTCCTTCCTCCACCTGAACGTGGGCGGTGGCAGCGAGCACGCTGGGCCGCATTCCGCTGGCCCGCACTTCAGCGTGCCCCGCTTCACGGTCACCGCGCCGCCAGGGGAGCAGCGCCGCTTCAGCCACGGCTTCGCCTTCCACGGCTTTGCCCTCAGGCGGCACTCCAATACGGTCTGCGTGGACATTTCTCGAGTGTGCCTACGCTTCATTATAACCCCCGATCGCCACTGGACTGAGTGTGTTATTTTATTACTAACCGCTGCACTAAATTCGCAGGACATGCATGATATTTATGATGTTACGAACTTTGGATGTTAGAGTAGAATCTAACGTATTATAATATTAAACGCATTTGATAGAGAAGATTTGTTATGCTAATTTCGGAATGTTTTTGTTTATTTTTATTTCTCTATGACGTTACTGTTATCAGATCAACATCAGTCCAATGAGACTTTTTTAGTTTATTAATAATTTAGAAATTATAATATTATAGGATTTGAAATCGACTTCCCGTCATATTATTATAATTATTAAAAGATACCTTATCTGTAAAAAATTCTCATGCAAAATATAAGGATATAGGTACATCGATGTTTGATGCGTAGAATAAATTGAGCTACCTTGTGATATCGTTATCACTATATCTATAAATAATGTTCATTATGAACGTCGTTATACGTAGCAAGTGAACGTTTTAAGTGTGTTGATTGGAATATTTTTTTACCTTTAACGACAAACTTTAATGAAATGAAGCGCTGGACACTGCAACCGAGTGAGGTGTTAAAACTGTATTATTTTTATTGTATCCCTACATTCTGTGAATTGCCTGATAATTGTTCTGCATGTAAAAGTGTGTGGTGTTACTTTAACAGTAGCCGCCTTGTCCCGCAATAAAACACTAATGTGACGTAAATAAAATTCACACGATAAAATATCGAAAGTTTCCTTGTTGTTTTTTTCATTTGATCTGCATAAATATTTCGCCGGTTATATAAATATTTATAATTTTGTACATTTTTTACATTTATTCACGAATACTACGTGAAACTCGAAAACCTGAATTTTGGAAGTTGCCCTTCCTGTTCTATTTATTAGGTCACTTTTCGCTAAGTGTACGATATGAGTTAACGTGATGTGCCGTTGGTGACAGAGCCTCCACCGCAGCGAGTCGATGGTATCGCTGGCGTGTTTCAAGACGCTGTCCCAACTGGTGAACAGCGATGACACGACCGAGCTGCAGCAATACCTCGCCAACAACAAGAATGTCAACATCGACGACAAGGACGAGGTATGCTAATGACAGAATACATTAAAACTAATCGTAGTTTCAATTAGCATAAAAAATGACAAATATCTGAGGCGAAGATTGGAGAGTACTCCTTGGAATCGTTCTGGTTTCTCGTCCGTATGTACAAATATTGACGTGTAGAAATTGGCGCGGGAAACCTTCCTTGCGGCCGTGATGATGTTGACATAGTTTACGAGCTACCTGCTCTCATAGATGCCGTCTTAAATCCTTATCTATCTCCCAGAAGAGCTAAATGACTCAATTTTTAATTGCATCCGATATTCTAATTCTAAGTCTATTTAATGAAAGTTTCGCTTCAGAAATTTGACAAGGTCCTCCAGGTACTGTAGTTAAAACGTCAGATCCTTTGCTGCTTCCTTTTTCACTTATACTATGGCAGAGAAACAACAGCTTAATAACAGCTCAAATCAATTGTGGAATGACCACGGCCTCTCTAATTCTCTCTCGGTAAATGTAGACTAACATTTTTGATATCGGGAGTTCCCGTGAGTGGCGTGTAACATAACCGCCAATTAACTTAAAACTATAAAAAAGCAGTATATGCTCATACTGATAGCATGAGGAGACTGCCATCAGAATAATTGACCGTAGCCTGGGTTAACTTTGACATCGAGACGTGAAACACAGCCTCTGTAATTCTCTCTCGGTAACTGAAGTCTAACATTTTTGATATCGGGTTTTCCCGTGAGTGGCGTGTAACATCACCGCCAAATAACTCCACGTTATAAAAGCAGTATAGCATTGAGGACTGCCGTCAGAACGGCACCACGGCGCTCATGCTGGCCGCGGAGAGCGGACGGACGGCCGCGGCGCGGGTGCTGTTGGCGGGCGGCGCGGACGCTTGCGCCGCGGACGCGGACGGCTGGACGCCCCTGGCGTTCGCCGCGCGCGGCGGCCACCTGCCCCTCGCCAGGGAACTGCTCGACGCGGGCGCCCAAGTCGACTCGAGGGACTGCGTGAGTACGGCCATTTAACCGACAGCGGTAGGGGGTCGGGCGGTAACAGCGGCACCAGACTGCATGTTGCGTATCGATATTCATTCGGCAGCTTTTCATTTCTAAGCCGCGGCAATACAAAAGGAAACTACATTGAGGTGAACATTTGTAGGTGTACATCGAGGTGACCTTTGAATTTTGTCTGGTGAGTGAAATCTGGACGTCTGGCCATCTTTAAGGGTCAGCAAAGCACCAACAACCCCCATATTGTTGCGGATGTACTGACAAGCCTGTATATGCAATTATAAGCCCGTGTATGTGGTGTTGATCACTTAACATAACGCAAACCGCTTACTGTTATACCACCTCTATAAAAATATGATAATAAAGTAAACAGCAGTTTCAGGATTTGACCTACAAATGTTTTTAGAAGGTAACAGATCGCGTTTCATTCTTGTAACCCTATACTGATATTTAGTGTGACCCAAATTAAATAGAGCAATGACCAAAACGTATTCTCGCCTGTGCATCCAAAATATGTATATTTATACTTCGCGTGGAGCCCTGCCAAGATGTCAGTGACATCCACGCATACTTAAATCCGGTTAAAATATACACGAACCCTGTCTCATAGGGAACATCTTTCACAAACAATGTATTAATAGAAAAAGTTCCTTTAATTAGCGCTGTGCGGCGTGACGGCGCGAGCCTCGGGCCGTTTTAAACTTGAGACGACGTTGACACGAAGGCCGGTGCATTGAATGACGTTTCCTAAATGTTCCTCAGCTCCAAAATAAACATCCTAATGGTCTCGACAACAGTCGTGTACAAATTAGCTCTCCACTTTCTTATTGATTTGTTATGTATGTACTGTTTTCGAACAATGTATAAATACGTAAATAACGGGATTACAGAGTAGGTACGCTATTAGCGACGTCATAATGTTGCTAATAGGGTTCTCTGTAATCGGCTACAATTAAATGACGATGTAAGTTGAACGGTCTTTAAAAGATAATTTTATTTGCAGATGTATTCCACTGTCTGATGTTTTGGCCGGTGAGGCATTGATATAGTGGAAACGTTAAACCACAGGGCAAAATTATTTCTGTTTCGAAATGTTGATTGCAGATTAATTTTGGTAATCAATGATTACTGTTTTTGAATAACCGCAGGAACTCAAACAGAATTTTCATTGTGTTTAAAATATAAATTACGATATTTTTTTTTGTCATATCAAAAATAAAAGTTGCTGTCATTTAATACAGCATATGAAATCCCATCTCCATAAAAAAAAATAACAGGATACCCAGATTATCTAAAGTCTTGACTTCTAACGTGACACATGATGACTTGATGTCGCCTATGACGTTATCAAGACACAATATTATAGTTATCGTTATGTACTTCGTAAACTATCATCGCAAAAATCACCGCATGTGTGTTTGTTCATAGGGTGGTTGGACTCCCCTAATGTGGGCCTCGTACAAAGGCCACGACGAGATTGTTGGGCTGTTACTGGAAAAGGGTGCCGACGTTCACGCGCACGGAAATTACAATATCAAGTGAGTATTTCTGGTTTTGTTTCATTTATGTTCAATTTCAATTTTACATTCAAATTAAACAGACAGACAAATGTTATGGTCTCAGTGCCAAGCGCTTTGCCATTATAGGAACTACTGACAGAGTTCTTAAATATATCCTTTCGAATTATGTTTAAGTAATGCAATATATAAGATAACATTATTCTGTGTTGTCACACAGATGCGAAACAACTATATGTGGATCACACAAATAGTTGTCCCGTGTGGGGATCGAACCCACGACAGCTGACACCGAAGCCCTTGGCAACTGCGCCACGGAGTCATTTTGAAATGTCATTTGATGATAAATCGTTTTTGTATAAATGATACAGTATTAAACTGCTCAAGATATTCAAGCTCTAAATGCAGCCAAGTAAATAGTGATTTAATTCTTATTATTGATATCAAAAACAACCTTTACGGTAACAATACTAATTGAAAATAAAAAAACTTCGGTAGATTAGATGTAATTAAATCGTTTCCTTGGAAAAAAAGTAACGTCTTACCCAAACAATGACTAAAATCGTTACTGTTCAAGAAAAGCAACTTGATTAAGATAATTATTGATTTCAATTCTATTACTTTTTATCGATTTAAAGGGTATTAAAACCCCATTACTATTATTTCAAGTTTTTCCTTTCCTAGGGTGTGTACTAAACGTAACGTTACAAACCTTATTTTTATGTGTTTGAACTTTAAAAATGAAAAATCGTTACTGTTCAAGAAAAGCAACTTGATTAAGATAATTATTGATTTCAATTCTATTACTTTTTATCGATTTAAAGGGTATTAAAACCCCATTACTATTATTTCAATTTTTTCCTTTCCTAGGGTGTACTAAACGTAACGTTACAAACCTTATTTTTATGTGTTTGAACTTTGACAAGACAAGATAATCTACATAATGGCAAATTTATTAATCGCCTAAAATGTTGCCTACTTTAATTTTGCTCGGGTAAAACAAAAAATATTTTTCGAAGCTACTAGTAAGTATCTAATGTATTCCTTAAATGCTCAAGGTGTGCCGTATATTCATGTGAGAAGTCACACGGAATCCATTGCATTAATTTATTAGTCTATAGTCGTCACATGACCGAAGCCAATCTAGTCGTTGTAGCGCCAAAATAATATTTTCTAATTCCGAAGCAATTTTGTATAAATAAGCGAATGCATTTAAACAAAGTTTTTCTTAACAATTTATAATACAGACATCTTTTGATAAAAGTATATCGATAAATTTTTTGTCGATTATCAATTTCAACACTGTTGCCATGTCCAGGTAATAATAGATCATATAAATATCAAAAAAAAAGTTCCTGTGTTCAATGTGAAATTATGATATTCCATGAAAGAAATCGTATCGGAAATTTTGTTATCGCTACGTTAGCAAGACATCTCTGTCATAACCTTCGGGAGCACTGCCAACATAAAAGAGAACTAAGTGGAGTCGATTGTGCTACAGTTTATTATAATAATACTATAATAATTTTAAAGTAATACTTAATATGGCCGTATGACCTTATGATTAACATTAACCTGCAGTTTATTAACATTTCCTATAAAATAAAACTAAAATCAATATGTTCAATTAGTAATAAGTCAGATTCAGATGATTGTCTTTAATATTTTATCTGGAGACAAAGTATAGGCTGGATAAAACAGAGGCAAAATTTTGATAAAGATGACGATGATGTTTCTAATATTATAATTGGTTTGGCTCTAGTCTCTATGGATTTTAGTGGGTCTTTTTAGCTATAACACAAGCAAATACTGAACAGGAGGAAACATCCGCCTGTCGAAGCGATGAGCACCTACCTAATTGAGCAAAACTTCAGGTAAAATTAGAGATTGAACCCGGGGCTGCGTAGTACTTTGTAGCGAGGTACGTAGTAAGTACTCGAGCAGTAAAAACAGTAAAAATTCTCGTATCTGCTTTAAATATTTTATAATGGATGTGAACTATTAACAAGACAGGAATACCCATTGATTTTTTTTTTTATGTTGCATTCTACGTGCAGTCAGTTTGATTGACATGTGACGGGTGACTCTTTTCTTCATTTAGCCAACGTACACATTATAATTGCAACTAAGTTCAGGTAAAAAAGGTATTAACATTTTTAAGCTCTGCGTAGGACGTTTTAAAACTCAGAGCCTAAAGGCCCATTTACACGATGCCATTTTCTTGTACATACAAGAGCAATAATTGAATGCAATAAGTTGCACGCAATAATTGACCATCAAGAATTGTAAGCAACAGTTTACACGCAGATATAGTAAAAAAAATTGAATGCGATTATTGTATGCAAGTCTTGACAGGAAATAATTGCAAAGGTCTTTTGTTTACACCAATGCAATTATGTTTAGGCGATTATTGCTTTCAAGTTTTGACTTGTCTAAACACATGCTTGTATGTGCGTGTACAATTTATTGGCGTGTTGCTTCAACTATTGCACGTATTTGCGTTGACAAATTTTTCATGCAAGTGTTGAACGTTTTACAAAGGGCTGTTTTTTTTAAAAAAATGGCTCAATAATAAGTGTTCAAGTTAGATTATGCTGATTAAATATATTTCGTTGAGATTTATTTATTATTATCCATATATTATTATTCATTTTTTTATCCAACTTTTTTTTACGACCTTTTCTCAATATTTCTTTCCTCAAAAGAACAGCGCCGAGTAGATACCCTCACTCTGCACAAATTTTTGCAAAGGAAGAGAGAATGCAATTGAATACAAGAATTGCTTAAGAAATTATTGTGTGTGCTGTTTACACCAAGGAAAGTTTTGAAACAAAACTTGAAGCAAGTTTTGTTCAACGGTCAAGAATGTTATGTGCTGTTTAGACCGTGCAACTTATTTATTGCTTCAATTTAATTGTTGCTTCAATGGGCCTTAGGCCCATTTGTCTATAATTATTGCGGCATTTATTGCATTCAAACTTGCAAGAAACTTGCACCGTGTAAATGGGCCTTTAATGTGGCATTACGATTTTTCGTGTAAAACTAAATTACATACCGCTTCGTTTCATTTAATATATTTTTTTTATTTAGTTTCGGTCTTTCTGTACATAAGATTAATGTTCGACTGATGTACTATATGAAGACATATGCGACTATATAAGATTAGTACAGCCATGTAACAATGAAATGCTCTGCCAATTACACTATGTCATCTCACTGAGTGTTTATTAAAAATAACTATCGTAATCGATATTGTTACATAACGAACAGTTTATTAGTATGATCACGCAAAATCTATAACTCCTTTATTTTAGATAAAACATATATGTATAAGCAATGTAATTTCACGCCACAAATCCAAACAGCGGATACGTATCCACAAATGTAAACCAATCTGAAGACCTACTGGTTGGCTGTTGAGAAGTGCGAGAATAAAATATTTCTGAGAAGAGTCGTTGGTTTATGTTTAAATTTTTGATCATTTTGTTCGCTCACATAACATTGAGCTTGTTCAGTTGATGACATGAACTTGGGTGGAAACAGGCATTTATAAATGAAATGAAGAGACGATTGTGAACATGAGTAGTTTGCCAATATTAGAATGTGATCAATCTTCCAAATTAAACTCGGAACGTCAAAACTGTGTCGTAACGTCAGCCGATCATAGCAGTAAATCAATAATAATATGTCGTATTACAACAAATAACGTTACTGTGATTGTGTTTGTTTAAAACTTTGTATTTTATAAAAATTATGTGAAAAGATCTTCGGAAATTTTTGTTTCACATTTAACTAAACAAACATTTCTTATTCATGAAATATTAATAAATTATAGCTAAAATAATAACATTATAAATAAATTTATGACTAAAAATAATAATTCCCGAGAACTAATTAACTCATTGCAGTTTCTTTTACTATTTATTTATTTTCTCACTATGAACAAAACATAAAGTAGTAAGAAGGAAACCAATAGAGAAGGCGAAAAACTGAAAAACCTTTAGATATGACCATGAAAGCCGTGGTGAATTTAAAATTCCGCGATTTAAAATAATAAATAAAAGAAAAAATCCGTGGTTTCATTAAGGTCGGACGGCGGCATGTTATATTTAGAACTAGCTTTTCGCCCGCGGCTTCGCTCGCGTTGAAGTCCTTAAATACGTATATTTCTTTAAAAAAATTTCCGATTAAAAATAGCCTATGTCCTTTCTCAGGCGTATCAAATTTAAGCTAAACCGGTTCAGTAGTTTTGGCGTGAAAGCGAGACAAACAGACAGAGTTACTTTCGCTTTTATAATATTAGTATGGATTTGAATAGTTGATTATATAATGAAAATAATTTTACGGTTCAATTTAAACTCTTATTTGAATACTGTGCAGCATTGTTTTAATGGAGTAATACCTAATTTGTGTAAAATATGTAAACCCGTGTAGACATGTTCATTGTTCCAAAACAGCCTCCTGAACGCGGGAGAGTGTGTGAGAGGAGATTGTTTTGTAACTGCGCATGTTTGTCAACGCATCTACAACCCGTCAGGTGTTGCAGATGTCCATGGCCCTTGGCAATCACATAACATCAGGTGCCCCGCCTGCCCGTATGACAACTTTAGTCATTATTGTCGCTCATGGCCCACTGATTCACCTTGAAGGCTTTCAGATGCGGTGACAACCTTTAAAACTTCCACTTCGTCATGGTCTTCTGTGAGGCCGTGGTAGCTCCCTTGACGAGTCTGCTCATTCATGCAACGCATACAGCGTTAGGTGAATGTGAATGTTTACACCGTGGTAACTGTGTAAACATTCACATACCGGCCAAATGAGAGTCGGATTCGCGCACGAAGGGTTCCTTAATGTCATATCTGTTGTATGGGAGTCCCACTAAAAGTTAAAACATATTTTATTCTGTTTTTTAGTATTTGTTGTTATAGCGGCAACAGAAATACATAATCTGTGAAAACTTCTACTGTCTAACATCACGGTTCTCGAGATGCCTGGTGACAGACGCACAGACAGGCAGATAGAGTCTTAGTAGTCTTAGTAATAGGGTCCTGTTTTACACTTTGGATACGGAACCCTAAAAACGCCCCCGTTCCGATCGAGGCAGTGTGTTAACGAATGGCCGCCAGCTCGCGGCCCTACCGCAGTAGAAACTTTCACATAAGAAAACGCCCTAGTTACGATCGAGGCAGTGAGGTAACGAATGGCCGCCAGCTCGCTGGTGTGGGCGGCCGGGCGGCGGCACAGCGCGGTAGTGCAACGTCTCCTGGCGGCGGGCGCCAGGCCCAACTCGTGCGACAAGTACGCCACGTCGGCGCTCACGTGGGCCGCGAGGGCGGGCGACGCCGCCTCGTGCGCGGCCCTGCTGCGCGCCGGCGCCGACGCCAACACCGCCGGCATGCACTGCTGGACGCCGCTGCTGCAAGCCGCGCACGGTGCTCACCAACTCCTCACCAACTCCTTACCGTTGACGTACACTGCTGATATGAGCCGCCCGGAATCATACGATTGAGTCTGTTCTATTTGTCGTGTTCGTAATTCATGTATTCGGTAATATGTATAGATCTCTCATTTATCGGCTTCTAAATGTAATAATAATTTCACGTTATTTTCAATGTTAACTTTCTAGACTTAATCTTATAACCTCTGAGCGACTTATATTTCTCTTTAATTTTCTCCTATTTGTTATTTTAATAAGACAAAAACGTACTAAATGAAAAGTTCATTTGACAAAAAACGGGAACTATCGTGTGAGTCCGCTTCCTTTATCATAGTTACTTAATAACTTATTATATAAATCTTATACGTTTTATAATCAAACTAATGGGACTTTTACATTTTAGGTAATCATTTCGAAATTGTTCAAATGCTCCTCGAGCACAAGCCGAATGTGAACGCGCTAGACAAGGACGGCTATACCGCGCTCGCTATAGCCTGCAAAGAGGGCTACTATGATATCGCGTTGGCCCTCATCAACTCCGGAGCCTATATTAATGTTCAGGTGAGGTTTTTTAGCCTAACTTTTTACCTTCGCTCAAAGGAATCCTCAATTAAGAATGCAAAATAAATAAAAATGCTTGAAAGTGTGAAATAAAAAAATTATGAAGTCCGCCAATCCGCAGTGGGGCCGCGTGGCGGGCGGACTATGCCCTGATACCCTGTATATAAGGAGGTCTTTGCCCAGCAGTGAGACGTCATGTATAGGCTGTAACTTTACTTTTACACATTGCAAGTTGTTACTACGCCATAGGACCACTCGAAAGACACGCCACTCATCCACGCCGTGAAAGGTGGCCACAAGAACATCGTGGAGGCGCTGCTGAAGAAGCACGTAGACGTGGACTTGCCCGGCAAGGAGAAGAAGACACCAGTGTACACGGCCGTGGAGAAGGGCCACGTGGCCATCCTGAAGCTGCTGCTGGCCTCGAACCCGGACCTCGAGCACTGCACAAGCGTGAGTCTATTCCCGTTCATTGTTTTCGTTGGCCTGCGCGCCCGAACGCCCGACGAAATCGAATGGCGGACGCGTAAAATTAAACACGACGACGTGGCACGCACATCACTTTTGTCTTTGTACAATTTGTATTTACCACTGTCGTGTGTCACGAGTGTCGTTAAATATCAATAGGCGATCAATAAGCTCTGCGATCTCGATTAATTGTTTTACTGCAGTTTTCTTAGTTTTACATCGGACATCGCTCCCATAAACAGTCTAATAACAGGCAATTTAAATTTTTTTCGTAATCATAAAAACAGTATGTATGAGATGGCTTCTAGCGAAATTGAATATACTGCGAGCATTCAACTAACAGTTACTTTTATCGTAACGTCGCTTTTAACATTTCGAATTTAAATAATATATATTTTTTAATTATATTGTGAAAATATAGATCAAGTTGTTCTGAGTGATTAAAACCAAAAATAAACCTACCATACCATAAAGTGCACTTATGGTATGGTAGGGCCTTCAGTCCTGAGGCTGTGATAAAAGCTACCTTCAGACTCTGAAAAGCGTATGAATCTATCGATGGAAACATTTTAAAAACAACACCTTTGTATTACCGTCTCACTCGGTAAATACGAATTTACTATGCGTATGAAAGAGAAGACAATGAGTTCCACCAGGCGCCTCTGTTGGCAGAGCGGCGACACGGCGTTGCTGCGCGCGGTGCGCTCCCGCCACGCGGAGATGGTGCAGCTGCTGCTGGAGAGGAAGGCGCGCGTCAACGCGGCTGACAACCGCGGCGACACCGCGCTCCACATCGCCATGCGGGCGAGATCTAAGGTACAATCGCACGCAGAAGTCACTCGACGAGAACCCGATGTACACACACACGCAGACTTTACCTGAGGAGAATTCCAGGTACACTCGCACGCACACTTTACCTAACTAAAACACAAAATCCAATGTCTCACGTTGCAGCTTCCTATTAACTTTGTCGCGTTGATTGCAGCAAATCGTCGAGATCCTGCTGAGGAACCCGAAGAACAGCCAGCTGCTGTACAAGCCGAACAAGATGAACGAGACGCCGTACAACATCGACATGGGCTACAACAAGACGATACTGGGCCAGATATTCGGCGCGCGGAAGCTGAACACGAACGAGGACAACGAGAACATGTTGGGCTACGAGCTGTACAGCGCCGCGCTGGCGGACATGCTCTCGGAGCCCAGCCTCTCTGTGCCCATCACGGTGGGCCTGTACGCGAGGTGGGGCTCCGGCAAGTCGTTTCTGCTCAGCAAACTGAAAGGTGAGTTAAGTTTAGCGCTTACAGAGTGTGCTATTTTTAATTCTTTTTTTAAGTATTCATTAGGTGATTCGTATGTTTAATAAAGATATACATAGAGATACACATGTGATCCATTGAATAAAGTACTTAGATATTTTTCTCAGTTCCATGAACTGTTTGAAGTTTGCAACTGCCGATTTATTATAAAATTAATTTAACTTTGAGTTTAGTCAAATCTGAATGGAGCTATTTTCATATTTTGTATCATATGTTCGTCAGTAAAGGTTACACTGCGATATTTTATTTTAATCAGGAAGAATCAATAACTAACTGAAATTTTTATATAAATTATCTAATAATTTTCGTGGCTACGGGATTCGAACCTGTGACTTTCGGGCAACACGCCCAGACGCTCTAAGGCTCGTCTCGCTAGGCGAACGACATCCTGACGTGGCAAACGCCCAGATCCGAAACACTTCCTGTGGCGCGAACAAATATTCGTCCCGCGCGTGAATCGAACCCACGCCCATACCAGCTGCGCCACTCGGTAGGGTAGGGTAAAATGTCTAAAGTGAGGTTAAGTGCGAGGCAAACTTAACCTCACTTTTAACATCGCGATCTGCGGCCGCAGAGGAGATGAAGAACTTCGCGCGCCAGTGGAGCGAGTCCGGCTGGGCGTGGTCGTGGGCGGTGGCGTGGGGCGCGTGGCACGGCTCGCTGCCGCTGGCCGCCGCGGCCGCGCTCGCCGGCGCGCCGCCCTACGTCGCGGTCGCGCTCGCCTTCGCGCTCTTCGCCGCCGCCTACCTCGCCTTCTACCTGCTCTGGAACCTCGGCAACAGGTGATTGCGGGGCCGCCGCTCAAGGCCGCCCTCGTTTCGCTGCGGTCGCATTCAAATAGTAGCCGTACTAATAGTAGCGAGTTGTCGTACCACGACCTAACAGTGGCAGTGACACAAGTGGAAGTGTCGCACTTGCGCTTTCGTCTGGTGAGTGGAGTTTAGTGTTGCGCGAATGGGCAGGCTCGTCCGGAGATATACCACGACCTAACAGTGGAAGTATCGCACTTCTGCTTTCCACGACCTAAAAACAGTCACTGAACACCAACTGAACCGTCGGTATCGCACTTCTGCTTTCAGTTAATTCTCTCTAGTGGCTTATCTTGTGGCGATGTCCATAATTTCGAAAGCTCAAAAAAAGCTTGCGTAGGATGCAGATGACTCAGGATCATGCTTCGTGGCAGTCTAGCCTATGTTAAGCAATGGACTCGTAGTAGATTGAAAAGGTGCCTCCTCTGCCACAGTAAAGTAAATCTTATCTAAAAAAAATCAATCGAATCTAAATCTTATCTCCTTGTGAGAAGGTTTTTGAATAGACTAATGTGAGCTTTTTCACAATTATGAAGCATTTCATTTTAGATATTTTTAAATTTTAATTTCACATTCATGAAGCCCGGCGGAACTCCCACTGACTTTAGGTATATTTAAATGTTTATAGAGATAGAGAAAATTTTCTATTATATTCTTTGTGTCCCATTCACAGATATGAGTGGTGGTGGGCTGGCGGCATGATGTCAACTTTGGGGCGTCGATTCAATTCCCTGCTATTAGTGCTACAAGTTGTTTTCTGCCATCCGCCCGGCCCTAACGACCCGCGCGCCCTGCCAGCGACTCCGATAAGGTTCAATACTGAAATTATGTACCGGACTCACATTTACTTAGATGACGTTTGTTAAATAAAACTAACGGATTTTTTGTACGGGACCATGGACTCTGTAAAGTGTGCGAATATGCGAAATTGTTTTTATTTAATAACTTGCCGGTTTCGATATCAATGAAATTAATGGACCACATTGGAGGTAAACCGAACTTAAGACGAAAAGAATTTTTAAAATCGATTCAATGAATTTGAACCGAATTGTCGCCGCTTTGAATCTTAAGTATATGTATATATATATATATGTATGTATATGTATATGTATGTATATGTATATGTATGTATAACTTTGTTGTACCGCAGATTCCACTTCACGGAGGGCATGAAGAGCGGCGCGGGGCAGGAGGGCGAGGCGATGGTGGTGCAGATGATCGCCAGCCTGGCGGAGGCGCTCGAGAGCCAGTACGGCCGCGTCTGCACCAGGCTGGCGCGCGCCTTCAGGCCGCGCCCGGTCTCCTCCACGTCCGGGTGGAAGTAGGCATCGACTGACGTCTAGCTGTCCCTCTCGCACTTCTTGTAATTCCAGTTCGGTAGACAGTGCCAATGATGTCTACGTTTCGCCAACTTATTTTGCCTCTATTTTATACTCGATGAATTTTGAAACAAACATCGGGCTCATTTATGTTGACTCTAATTTTAGTATATTATTTGATATTTTTATACACAATTTATGTAATAAAAATAATTTTCACCTTGTGTAATTTTATTAAATTTTCATTAGGTTAAATGAAACTTAAGTAGTATTTGTTGTTTTTTTATTTTCATTATTCTAATCTTTTAATTTTTTATACCATGGTTAAATCTTTTTTTGTGGGTTTTCCGCATTTTATTGTTGTGTTTCTTTTCCTCAGATGGCGACGAGCGTGTTGCATACCGCACATAATTACGTTCGAGGTGATATTCACTTGCCTACTCATCGGGTTGTGCGTGTTGGTCATGTACTTGACTGAAACCGGAGCGGATCAGCAGTAAGCAATAGTCACAATGACCCACATATAAAAATTTTTGCCATATCTTTACTTGTATAATGTTCAGGATTCTACCATTCCATCGCAACTTAACGAAATTATGTAATTTTGTGTAATGTATTTTAAATAGAAATTACTTATAAAAAAAGTATGCATGTTTTTCGTGAATGGCGCAAGCGGTATATGTTATTCGTTTAGTTAGAGATGACGCTGTACCCGCTCACTATCGTGATGGAGAGTTCGTTATCCTTCGCATACGTATCCGTGGTCGGCTGCGATGCCAGCGCCCCTGTGCGTTTCGGCTCCTATTGCGTCCTTCACCTCATTATAACTGTGGTAGGCCCACGCAACAGTGTTCACTGTTGCACGAATGGGCAGGTCCGTCCGGGTAAGTACCGCGACCTCACAGAAGATGCGCGTAAGGTAGATGTGTTACATATCGGTGTGTGGTGAGTAAGGTAGCTGGGGCCCACTTTATTTAAAGGTGACAACGCACTTGCAACCCTACGGGTGTTACAAATGTCCATGGGCGGCGATTATCACTTCACCATCAGGTGAACAGCAGTTCCTTGTGAGTTTGTAACGTTCTCACCGCACAAAAAAAAATGGCTGACCACGGACGAACCTACGCGTGCGGCGTACGAACGCCGTACGAGTACATGCAGTCGTCGTAGCAATCATAGCACGTAGCGCACCGCCGTGTGAACGGCGGCTCAGTGAGAGTGGGTCGTCGTCGATCAGGCGGCGTGACGTCCAACAGGGGCTGCTGATCGGCGCGTGCGCCGTGGGCGGCGCCGCGCTGCTCGCCAACGTGTACACGGCGGGCAGGGCGCTGGCCGCGCTCGCGCTGCCCCCCCGCGCCCGCCTGCTGCGCGCCCTCCGCCGCGACGCGCACGCGCTCGCGCTGCGCCCGGAGGTGCAGGCGCTCACCAACATGGTGCGTCTACGTCTCTATTTTGATTGATCGATTCATTTAAACATATTTATGTATATATATATATATATATATATATATATATATATATATATATATATATATATGTATATATATTTATTCTGTACGTGTTTAGGAGGAGTTCAGTGACATACACACGTTATTTTTTTGTGTTAGATACACAGTCCGTTTTTTTTTATTTATAAATTGTTGTCGGATTTATGTCGCGTGCACAGACAACTTTAGACCGCTAATATTTATATATTTTTCTAATTTTCCATTTTAGTTTCGTTATTGCACCCGCCTTGTAAGTGCCGAATTATCACGTGCTCAGCAGTGAAGGAAAACAACGTGAGGAAACTTGCATATCTTCGAAATAATAACAAAAAAAAATATTTCGAAGATATGTCAAGTCCGCCAATCCGCAGTAGGGCCGCGTGGACTATGCCCTGATACTCTTCGTACAGAGAGGAGGCCTTTGCCCAGCAGTGGGACATGTACAGGCTGCTACTCTACTTTACTTTACAGGTGTTCTGCTTGGACGCGTTCACGGGGCAGCAGACGCGGCTGGTGGTGGTGGTGGACGCGCTCGACAGCTGCGAGCAGGAGAAGGTGCTCGCCCTCCTGAACGCCGTCCACGCGCTCTGTTCCGACCCCAAGAGCCCGTTCATCCTCTTACTGGCCATCGACCCCCACATCATAAGCAAGGTACGCACAAGTTCATAATTTTGCACTGTCAATCTAAGTGCCAAATATCTTTAAGAAAATTATCTGTGTGTGTTAATATGTTAATTATCAGTTTCTTGGAATTTATAAATGCTGTACTAAAATGTGTTTGGCATAGATAAAGTAGGGTCTAATATTTATGTTTTTTTTTTTTGCGATAACTATAATACAACACATTATGATATAAGATAATTTAACTCGGTTAATGTGTGTGCAGGTTGCTTGGATGGAGGTTAGTTGGGCGTTTAGCAAGTTCGATGTTCTTCTGATGGCATTATTGGATTGGTGTTGTGTATATGTTATATCGTGTTGCATGTCAACTCGTTGTTTTAATTTCTTTACAAAATTCCTAAATTATCTTTAGTTCATCTAAAATATGTTAGCAATGTTGCATGATTGGCCCTATCCGAATACATGAAATTAAAAAAAAAAACAATGAGTGCAAGTATCACATTTAATAAATTTACATATGAACTAATGATTAAACCACATAAAAATAAGAAGTCACTAATTGCCTCCTTATTTATATGTGATTTATTCATTTTCAAAACAACAATTTTTTTAAGTATAAAAACATGTTGTTAAACCGACAGTGATTATGGGGGTAATAACGATAAAGAATATTGATGTAGCAATAAAATGTAATCTGCAATAACAGTGAAGATTTGAATACCGCATCAATGAAAAGAGAGTCGTTTACTCTATGTCAACTAAACTTTTAATATAGTTTATTAGTTATCTTTCAACGTTTGGATTATTTGTCGTTTTCCGAACTGTAATTTTATTGAACATAGTTTGTGTTTTATTTGCTTGCATGCATTACATGTGTACATATTACGAAACATTCCAAAACCGTGTTACTTTTATCTTTATTTTCGTTACCATGTAAATTTTATACGCTGTATGTTCGTCTAATATTATTTATTGATTCGTTTGTTCATCGTGAGTTTGTAAATACGTTCGGCAGGCGGTAGAGATAAACAGCCGGCGCGCCTTCTCCGAGAGCAACATCGGCGGCTGGGACTACTTGAGGAACATGGTGCAGCTGCCCTTCTACCTGCAGAACTCGGCGCTGCGCCGCGTGAAGAGCGCCCAGCAGACGGCCGCCAAGCGGATGCAGGCGATCGCTGCCGACGACTTCTCCACGTCTCTCCAGAGATCGGTGAGTCCAAGCTTTCGTGCATCGTGATATTCATCATCATCCTCCTGCCCTTATGCAGGCGAGGTCGGCACAACAGTGATTTTGTGGTTTTGGCTATTTTTTTTACGACCGGCCGCCTGCCTATCGTCAACCCTCGTTGGGAAACAAAGACGCATATCAGGAAAAGTAATCTGTGGGTCATACAAATACAAATACGAGTGGGAATCGAACCTACGACCACGCCACGACGTCACACAATTCATCATGATAAACAATAAATATTTCAGGACACATTTGTGTACAACACAGCGTTATCCAGTCCCAACGTAAAACTCGTTTTAAAGATCTAAGCATACATAGCGGACAGACAGACAGCGGGGCGACTTTGTTTTATACTATCTAGTGATTAAGCGACACATCGACTTGTGCGCCCTGTCGAGTCGGGTCAGGCGCGTAGGAATAAATATTTAATTCAATCACATTATGTTGCGTGTATATTATGTACGTCTACTCGTGTTAAGCGATGGGTAGACTTGTGCGCCCGACGGTACACGCGAGCCGCGCGCGTACAGTCGAGTACAGTCGAGTACAGTCGAGGTGCGGTGCTTGCGCAGGTGTCGGCGCGGCGGCTGTCCTCCGCGTCGGAGGTGATGTCGAGCCAGGAGCGCATCAAGGGGCAGGCGGGCAAGGAGGGGGCGCGCGCGCGCCGCCTGCGCCCCTCCGAGTCGCTGGCGTCGTCCGTGGCGTCGGGGCTGCACCGCGCGCCCCCCGCCGCCGGCGCCGCCGACCTCGGCCGCGTGCTCCTCACCGACGACTACTTCAGCGACGTCAACCCGCGCAGCATGCGCCGCCTCATGAACGTGCTCTACGTCACCGGTGCGACTTGTGTTAACGTACATCGAACTTTATAGTCGAAGACACGATGGCGGTCTTCACGTGTATTGCACTTACCTAACGTGCACGACGGTCGTGTGGTCATACTCACACACAAATTATACTAGTTTTGAAATATTCCTACAATCTTTTTTTAAAATGTAGAAATACTTGTTTTTTAGTTGAGATTCTTATTGTCAATAAAATAGTTGTACAAAGTAAAGCAATATTGTCATACTTGCACAGTTTTTTTGTGGAAAGTTGGCAATGATGCATTAGTACGTCATGAAAGTTACGAAGCTATGTAACTAACGGACGTTCGTTGAATATAAGAACCGGGCATTATTGTTGTTCATTTGATTGAGAAAACAACGGCATAATATATGTTTACAATAGTTTTTCAATATTATCACATTTTATTGAAAGCCATTTACAGTTGTCCATGTAATTTGAAAAATAATACATATTCAAAAAAGGTTGATTTGAAAAAGGCAAAATCTACTAATGCATTATTGCTAACTTTTGACATAAAAAATGTACTAGTATGACCAAACGACCGTCTTGCACATTAGGTAAGCACATAACACGTGAAAACCACCATCATGTCTTCGACTAACAAGTTTAATATACGTTAACCGCATGAACAACTTCTGTCTTATCCTTTAGAATAAAATACTTCTACTATTATGCGAATAGGCAGGCCCGTTCGGTGATGTATCACGGCGTCACGGAAGATCGACGACAAGTGGAAGTGGTATACTTTCGCGTTTCATGTTTAACGATGGGGCCACTTCTTTAAAGTTGAAAAGCCCAATTTTCAAATAGGTTGTCAACGCATCTGCAAACCTTCGGGGGTAGCAGATGTCCATGGGCGGCGGTATTCACTTAAGATCACTTAAGATCATCATTGAACCGCCTGCTCGCTTAAAAACTTTTCACATAAAAAAAGGTTGGCAATGCATTTGCAACATCTCAGGTATTACAGATGTCCAGTCGTTAAAGCTTACCATTAGATCAACCATCTGCTCTCTTGCCAACCTTTCACATAGAAAATCCTGAGACGTATAGTTTATTTATTTAAATATTTGAAGCTTATAAGCAGATCATAAATTTAATAAGCGATAACAAAAAAAGTTTGTTATTGTGAAAATTTTTATTCTTAAACATATTTCCACTAACAGGGAGGTTGCTGAAGGCGTTCCAAATAGAGTTCAACTGGTACCAGCTGGCCTCATGGGTAAACTTGACGGAACAGTGGCCCTTCCGTACCTCGTGGATCATCTACCACCACGAGACATATGAAGAACACATCGATGACTCGACCTCGCTGAAGCATATTTTTGAAAAGTAAGACAAAATTTTAGTAGTTTTGAAATATTCCACAATAGAAATACTTGTTTTTTAGTTGAGATCCTTATTGTCAATAAAATAGTTGTACAAAGTAAAGCAATATTGTTTTGCTTTGAATAAAGGTGTAGACGGTACATTCAAAATTAGTTCAACATATGGCCCATTCATTTTTTTAGTCTATCAACCAATGAACAATAAATGTTCATAACGTTAAATATTAACTAAATTACATATAATCTTAACAGGTGTTGTTTGTTTGTGAAAAAAAAAAGACATTAGATGCAAAAAGTTGTTATTGGTTGCCATGGCAACACTATGAAGGAGATGTCGCTCATCGTAAAAATTCACTCTCGTCATTTTACCAAACCCGCCAGAAGAAATATAACTTCAATTAAACTAAAAATAATTTTGTTAGTCGTCTAAGACTCGAAAAACTTATAAATTCCAAATCAATCAATACGTGATCGTTGTGCTCAGGGTGAAACCCGCGCTGGCCGGTGCTCGCGAGGCTGGCGCGTTGCTGGAGCTGGACCGCGACGAGCGCAAGCTGGAGGTGTTCCTCGCCTTCCACCGCGCCACGCTCACCGCGGCCGACCTCAAGATCTTCCTGCCGTTCACCATCAACCTAGACCCCTACATCAAGAAGGTCATCAAAGGTGATCACGAGATGCGACAAGACTACCGTCCGACCAACTCATTCAATGTTCATTTTCCTACGGATAGATATAGAGCTTTTTATTATTGATTAGTGCTAGTCTCTGTACTAAAGCGGAAACTTTCTGGGTGCTTTTCCCAAAAAATGCAGTTCGAATCGCACATAGCCGCTAGTTTTTATCTATTGATCCAAATAACATCAAAAATTCATATTTTAAGCTATTTATAATCTAAATATTATATATTGTTCCAAGATTTTGCCAAAACAGGTTTTTCTCTACATGCTTTGCATTATTTTTCTCTTTACAGAAGAACAATTACAATCGGGAGCAGAAGACGAAACACCTGCACCTAATTTACCTTGGGGTGCCCAAAACACACGTCACCCACATTCCAAACTATTGCCTGGGAAGAAAGTAAGATATTATAGTAAATTTATTCCATATAAAGTTTTATTTCACGTGATCAATATTGACTTTGACTTCCTATCTCAACAACTGATATAACCATTACAATTCCATAAACATTTTTATAGTTAACAAGAAGTAGTTTGTGGTAGCTTTATAATCAACAAGATGGTGCACTTACAGCAGAAAATGGCGACCCCACAGGGAGTGGGCGCGAATCCAGTGGCACCGCCGATTTGGGTGGGCTGGGCCAATACGCAGTATCCGCAGATGCAGCAGATGCAGCAAATGTCCAATGTGCACCAAATGGTGCAGATGCCGCAAATGCCGCACCACGTGCCGCAGATAGCCGTTAATCCTACGGCATTGCTCAAAACCGCATTCCCTAGTCTGGTCAGTATATTATTCTTTTAAAGTTAAAAATAATCAAACTCAATGTCAAAGCAAAAAAGTCAAAGTTTACGGTTATACTAGAACATTATCCCGTTTTGTAAGGACGTTTTACAGACATAAATTTGACGCGAACAAACAGCCGGATCCGAAAAATTTATCCGCGGTCACGCAAATAGTTGTCCCGTGTGGGAATCGAACCCGATGCTTCTATATTGAATAGCACCGGGGCCAATGGCCAATAGTGTCAATGGGCGGTTCTCACATAACATCAGGTGAACCGCCAGCTCGTTTGCTACTTTTTCACTTAAAAAAAAGATATTTGAATTTGTATTGTTGCGTTTCCCTGCAGGGCGACGTGTCCTCGGTGCGTCTGTCGACATTGAGCGTGGAGCGCGCGTGCGCTCTGGTGCGGGACGCGCTCTCGTGCGGCGGGGGGGGGGGGGGGGGGGGGGCGGCGGCCGCGGCGGCCCTGCAGCGGCACCGCGTCTGCGGCCTCGTACTCTCCGCGTGCCGTCTGGATGAACTCAAGCCGGTAATAACAGCAGTTATATATAGTACAGCAGTACATGCATGCTGCCGGTTTCGGAGGGAACCCCAGGGCAGTTAGCCTACAGTCTGACACCGGTTTAACACACTATGTGCACAAGGTACAAACACAGTCGAACGTGACGGAATAAATGAATTATTAAAAATTGAACACGAATTAATCGAACCATCTGTCTGCCTGTACCGTGATCTTGTAAATGGTGACGGAGTTGTAAATGTTAATAATTAAAATACTCTTGACTTAATGATTAAAATAAAAACAAAACGAAAAAAAGTCCGTCAAATTGGTTTTATTTAACATGAGAAATATTGATAGATATGCAGACATCAGAAATAATTAATCACTTATTTATTTCATGATTGTCGCTCATTTCATATTCTACGAAAAAAAAAAACGTTTTTACCTTCCTTAGATCCTGGACTTACCATTCGGCGACTGGGAGCTATTCAAGATGCTGATAATGAATCTTCGCGAGCTGGAGGCCAATTTACCGCTGAACACGCCCGCTGTGGCAGGTGAACCTTTCACTCTCATATTATCGTAGCTTCTTAGTGTTCTGGATAGTTCCATTTAGGAACAAAGCTTCTCAAAGCGTGCTATATTAAACAAACACGCACACGTTACAGTGATTCCAGAAAAGTCGACGGAGACAGAAACCGATGCGGTGAAACCGCGCTCTGTGCTGGAACACCAGCGCAGTCGGCCGACCAACGTCGAGAAACAGGTAATGATTTAATTATAGATATATTTCTTGTTGAGAAAACTTAAAACGTGTTTTGAAAAAACATTATCTGTTCCATTTTCGTTTATATTAAACTGATTTGTCAATATGCCATTTCAGCTATATACGGAGTATCAGGTAAACATAAATGTAAATAGTTCAAATGCACTTTGATTGTACCCAGTAATTTTCATTCGATGTTTCACAGTTTCGATTATGTAGACAATACAAAATAATTGTGTCTATTTATATCTTGTGTCCCTTTTTATCAGTTAGAATACTAGACTGTACTTATGCCCGGTTTCTGAAACACTGATCATCGTAAAAATTAACTAATCAGCTGTCAAATGGCTTCTTAAATGTCATTGGAGTTGCCAAAAGGATTGTTAAACTATTTGAAGATTGAACTTCTAAGATCAAAATGATCATACTGGTCAATTGAAAGAATTTAACCATACTTTTGGCAAAACAAATGATATTTGAAAAGTATTTGATTAGTTAATTTCTACGATGATCAGTGTTTCAGAAAACGGGCGTTAGTGTTCAACCATTTTCCCATTCAATTTTATTAGTGGCGTTATTATTAGATTTATTCGTAGCATTAAAAGACATTGTATGGTAGAATAATGGTTAAATGTAAACCGCCCGTAACTCGATCCGTTACAGCAAAGATTTCGAGACTATGTTCCTAGCATGTATTTTTAGAAATTTTGTTTTATCCTAATGTTGATGTTATACCTCCTATTACATATGTCATTATTCCATATTCGTTATGTCAATTAACTGATTTCAAAATTTCGAACTATTCCGGCAAAATTATAACATTATATTTTAATGGCAGTGAACCACTGCTATATTTGTTTTAACCTACCGATATTTAAAAATCTCTATACATCTTTATATTATAAAATAACGTCACATGTATCATGATACTAGATAATTTTTTTCCGATGCTATTTAAAATATAGATTTTGCGTAATAACTTTCTGTTAAAATAAGTAGTATGCTTTTAGCGAACTTAGTCATAATTTCGTTCATTTATGAAGGTATTGATTTGAATGAATATTTTTTTTAGATGCATTCATTAGCTACACCACAAATTTACGAGCATATATGAAATAATTTATTCTTCATATCATTTAAATCATTTAAGTACGTTTAGAGTTCACAGTAATCAAAAAGGGGACTCATGGGATTTAGGTAGCTGTAGACTGTAATAATTGTACCCAATGTACTTTAACCCAGTAATATTAACACCTGTTAATACATGTAGAAAGAATATGAAGTAATTATTACATCAAATACTATTTAAGCGGCCTATAGAGGTCATTATCTGCACCAAGTTACACTAATTGACAGAATTGCTTAACAAAGGGTATATTGTCGCACACACTGCGTATTCGCATGTCAATGGCAATTGATGATCCAGCTGTCCGGGGGTACAATCACGCCCACCGTGATGCACATAACAAAGGGGAATGTCGGGCACACTGCGCGTGCGCATGTCGATAGCTATGATCCACCTGTCCGCGGGTACAATCGCGACCCACCGTACTGTACCGCGGTTGACGTGTGCGCCAGGTAACGTTGGAGGAGCAGATGATCTGCGGCGCGCTGCAGACCCTGAACGAGGAGGCGCTCGAGGACGTGCTGCAGTCGGAGCCGCCGCCGCCAGGTGAGCCCCCCCTCCGCACGATCCGCGAGCACGCGCCCCGTACCCCCTCGGGCTCGCCCACGCCCACGCCCTCAACCACGCCCACGCCTACGGCCACGCCCACGCCCACGCCCGCCGCCGCCACGCCGCGCCGCCGCGCCTCCTCCGGCGACGAGGGCGAGCCGCGCGACCACGTCGTCATCAACGTCGCCGACGACGTCTTCCTCTAGACGCGCTCCTGAATGCGCTTTTTCATCTCCTTTTCTATAGAGAAACTTATCTCGTTCTATTAGTTGAAACACGTGTGTGTGTGCGTGTGTATGGAGTTATACTTCTTTAGCGTAACTAAAGACTTCATCCCGTGTGCCAGTACAAGAGTACTATTTGTGAAGAAAAGACGTTTGAAATTGGTGTCGCTTTTAGGTGACTCGCATTATTTTTCCCAAATGCACGAAAAGAAGTATAACTTCAAATTTCTCTGTTAGACCCATGAATGATTTGCGTGCAACAACCCATCCGTGGGATTCGAGCACTGTACCCGCAAGCGACGGAATCTAAACCGCCTTGATGACAATATTGCTATTGCATATCATGATTTACTGTCCTAGTGCTCCACTAAACCATCATAGCAAACTCCAAACATAACCGCCAAATAAGTTGTCAAAACTGATCTCGACTGCCGAGCCTGAAGGACCATACTGTATATACAAATATACTTGCCATTAGTAGTAAGGAGTTGTTATTGTGTATTTAAAAAAAACAAGGCATGTTTATTTTAATAGCTTTATATAATGTTCAATTAATTACTTCCTGGCATTGTTTTTATTTTGTGATTATCTCTAACTAAAAAATAAGTTAGGATTATCGTGATTTGCAAACAAAGTAGTATGTGTCAACATATTTACAAAACAATGTAGATTTAAGCTTGTTTAACATTGCTCTGTAGCGTGCACCATTACGGCCGAAGTAAACAGAGAAGAATAATAACTTATTCTTGTTACATTCTTGATGGCGGCTTCATGTACGCACGCTTTAAAAAGTATTTTATTATTATCCTTAGTTTTGAATATTTAGACACATTACAACACGCGGCGAATTATGGTGTTTTGTATTTGCAGTAGTATTAGTTTCACGAATAATATTTATTATAGTTGCTAACAAACCGCTAATAAAAATTCTTTAGACTTAAATACCACGAGTTCAAATACTGCCAATAAGCCACATGTACTTAAATCATTATTATAGTCAAAAATATAATATGCATATCATTCGCCTCAAACAGTTTTGAGTTATTTCAATGCAGCTTGCATAGATTTTATATAAATATTCAAATATAATAGTTAAAATTAATTGCTTTAAAACCTTACGATTGTTATACTACTGCAAAATTAATAATTATATCATTATAGGTTTAGTTTAAATAGATATATTTTATCTAGAAACATTTACTTATTGCCACAAAATTGTTAAAGTACTTACTGATTGTCTTTTTTTAGAACTTTTAGATGCCATATTTTTTTACTTTTAATAAAACATTTGTATTTTAGATTATATTCATGCAGAAAATGCTATTTTACTGTATAATCGAAGATTATCATTCCCATTAATATTGAGATTTTTCCTAAAGTGTTCTAGATGGCTGTGTCATTTTTTGTTGTAATGAATTCACTGTACACATTATTAAATAGTAAGAGACATTTAGAATTGATTGTGATATCTAAAACTTATTTCTTAGCATTAGGTATATAATCAAATTGGAAAAGACGCTATATTATTCCATGTGTCCTTATTAAAAGCCTTAATTATAAAAATCACCGATTAAGTTAAAATTACATTATGATAATGTAAATTAATCTCGGTGGCGTCAGCGTAAGACAGTCTTTAGATATAGGTATACTGCATTATACATGCAGTGCGTTAGAATACTACATTTTATTAATAATGTGCAGTAGTAATGTACTTATTTATGATAACCTAAAAGTGTTCCATAACTATATTTAATTTCGTTTAATTTAATTTCAAAACCTTTACATATCTTGCACGTTCCCTTAGTCGTAGTAATTATTAAATTCGATATCATTCCCAACCATATTGAACAGTGGTGCCGAATAAAATTATACCTATTTTAAATTTGAAGTTTTATTTTTATTCTGCTTTATGGTGCCTCTAATGAATACACGCCTCCTGCGCCTGTTTAAAATAAACCCTCGAAAGAATATTGCGATCATTCGAAGAGGGTCCGGCGTGAAGAGCGCGTCACGCAAGGTGATACGATAGCTTGTTTCTTACAGACGAGGAGAGCGAAGTGCAGGTGCGGCTGGCCCGCAGCGGCGCCTCGTGGGCGGGAGGGCTGAGCGCGGGGGGCGGCAGTCCGAGGGCGAGCCGCCGCGACCCCTCCATCCTGAAAGGCGGCAGCTTTCGCGCGCGGCGCCACGCCGAGGCGCCCGCCGTCACCTTCAACGTAGAGAACGAGGAGGACTCGGACGAGGGCCAGATCACGTTCAGCGCGCGTCCGCGGCCGGCGGTGCAGTACCGCGCGCAGGCGCACGAGCCGCCCCGCGCGCCCCGCACCCGCCCCTCGTCGCTCCTGGTCGCCGGCGAGGAGGCGCCCGAGGCCGAGGAGCGCCTCTCCGCACGCTCGCGCTCCGTCGAGGACTCCACCAAGACGGACTCGCCCATCGTCGACCTGAAGCTGAGGAGCCTCAAGCGGACCGCGGAGATACTGAAGAAGGTCGGCTCGGCGGAGGGGCTGACGCGGTTGAAGGACAAGATAATGTCGCGCGGTAACGGCTCCCGCGAGCGCAGCCCGCCTCGCGACGAGCCCGGCAGCGATGACGAGTCGGCGCCGCTGGTCAGTTCGCCCACCACCGTCGCCACCGTCTCCGAGCTGCACCGGCGCTCCGCCTCCTCCAGCTCCAGCTCGCCGCTCGACCTCGCCTCCAACTCCAGGACCTATCCGACCTCGCCCACGAAGAAAATGATCGGAATAGAGTGCCGTGACCGCAGTCTGCAAGACGTCACCGCCAGTACAGATTTTTCGCCCCGATCCGACATCACCGACCTGGAGTCGCCCCGAGAGGGCACAACGGAGTTCGATCATTTGCCGGAATGCAAATCGACCGATGGGAAGTCCTTAACAAAAGCACGGGTGGACCGAGTGGACAGCGGGTCTTCTCTGTCAAACATGGTTGAACCGTATAACATGTACTTATTGTCCCACGGTACGTCGGAAAACTCACGAGCACTTTGGCGACAGAACGCTCTCGACTCTGGTCCGCCGTGGCCGTGGGATGATGAACCCGACTCCGCAGTGTGATCAGAAGCTCTTCTTAGATTGCTTCTTGACTGCTTTGCATTGCATTTTAATTGTATTCTTACAATCTTTGCAGAAGGAATACGAATTTTATTCGAGATATTCATTGTGCTAGTTGCTGCATTATAAAGCAGTAGGTGCATAATATGATAGTTAAAACTACAAACAGTAGTATAAAATTGGTACTTACCACAATAAAAGAGCGGCACATTAGACGCATTTAATAATTACATCTGCATTGTTACTTACCAGTGTTGTGATATTATTTGTGCATAAATACTATGGTAATGTTATTTTCTCTATACTATAACAGTATAATTTTCTTTCGAATGTACTTACTCCTAAGTTAAGTAATGGGAAATAAAACAATAATGATTTTGAATAATTTATTCTACTATCAACACTTGTTTATGCTACAAATAAAATTGTCCTGCATACAATTAATCAAATTAATGAAAAAAGGAAAATGTTCCACATACGTAATTTAATAACCATTTAAGATTTTTATATTCTTTGATTACTTAAATTTTATAAAATTAAGAATATTCATGGAATTTTGAATTCAGAAAAAAACTTTTCAGGTCATTTTATAAACTCTAGAGAGCAAACTCGTAGCTGGACCATGTTTATTGAACATAATATCTTCATTTTTACTGCTATACATACAAACCATATTGTAATTGTGATTGAATGAAATGAGAAACAAGTACATAAGTAATGATTCTGTTTAATATGGTAGGCATGCAAAAATACTTTTTATAATTCCATTTACCAAAATAATCATCAATGAAAAAAGATCTATCATGTATTCAATATTAGACAGGCTTTTAGGAAGGCTCTACCTAAACTTAACTGCAGTATGTTAAATATTATTGTTCATAGTCCGGACGACAATATTACTGGGCTCATACAGAGATTACTGTGGCATATTTATTGTTAATGAAATCAATAACTATGTTATTATATATGTGCAATTCTAACATGAATATTTTCGTTTATACATGATTAACAAACTAATAAGTATTATTTAGAGATCACAAATCGTATCAAATTCTATTGTCTACTTACAGAAACAACAATCACATGCATGACTTGATAAGGAAGCACATCACATAATTCAAAAAATAAAATATCCATTTTACGTTGTTAGGCTAAAAGCAATGTTATTTAAGTTTGATATCAAATTCTTATTGACTTATTCATAACAATATCACTTTTTGTGGAATGATTCAATTTTTATTCTTTACACAGCATATAATTTCAGCAGATAATCAAGTAATTTTTTTTTAGATACCAAATTGAATATGTTACCTACCAGCTGCAGCTGCAAATAATTTTATTTAACAAGTAATTCAATTAATAAGACTTGTATATATACATCTTCATCAGATTAGATAAAACTGAATAAAAAATAATAATTTCATTTGATATTTTAATTATAACAGATCACTTCTGAAAAACAGACAACTGTCACATGCAAATATCTAAAAAAAATTTCACTTATTCAACGAAATAATAAATAATACCAGTAGAAAACACTTAAGGTCAAAATAATATTTAAGATTAAATAATAATAAACAAATTTAAGGAACAAAACTAACAAAAACCTAAAAAACACTCACTCGAGGTTAAATGTGACAATCATAAACAGGTGACGGGCACAGCTACAAAAACAGATTAAGGTGGAAACCGTTACAACGATCCAACAATATGGTACACACAGCTCGGAATTAAACGACGCGTATTTTGCCGACACTGTTGGCGGTGTCCTCGATGAACTTGTCCGGGGGTTCGTCGCTGGCGGCGGGGGGCCCCTTCCTGTTGTCGTCTTCCAGCTGCTCTGCGACGTCCTCTGCGTCGGAGGGCGGCGGCCTCTCGTCCAGCGACGTGTCCGAAGCGGCGGCGGGCGCCGGCGCGGTGAGCGCGCTCCACCAGCCGGAGAGGGCGCCGCGCGCCTGCGACAGCGCCCCGCCCACCGCCCGCGAGGTGGTGGCCACCGCGCGGCCGGTCGTCGCCACCGCCGCAGTCACCTTGCGACCGCCCTCAGTAGTCGACATAGTACTGGAAACGGACCGGGGAGGATTTTAATTCGATTAATTGAATACTTGATGACTTCGTGGCGCAGTTACCAAGGTATTGGCTTCGGCGTCGGCTTTCCTCCGGGGCCCCCCTGACGAAGGGCAAGAACACGGGGCTCAGAGCACGCGCCCGGTGTGCTCTTATGGTAAAGGTACTGCATATAAAAATGTCGTTCACAGAAGACAGGCGTGTAGTGGAAGCGATATACTTCTGCTTTTCGTCTGGTAAGCGAAATAGGCGAATTTTTTATAAGGTGTCAACGCATCTGCAAGCCCTACGGGAGTTGCAAATGTCAATGGGCTGAACTGACTGCTCGCTTCCTATATTTTAACAGTAAAAAAACATCAAGAATCGGCCTATACTAAAATATCGATTGCACTACTGTTACAAGTAAGACGATTTAAAAATTATTAAAACCTGAGTGCGTTGAATTGAAAATTTTTATAACTTATTACAATATGGCATCTGGGTGTCAACAAATTAAATTTTGATTTCTTGACAGTATGTCCTAAGAATCAAAAAATCGGTTCACGCGTAAGAGCGCCACAAAGAAACAAGCATACATACAGGCTGATATGCACATTGCCCTCATTAATGTAGTTAGATATATTCATCATCATCATCTGATACATTATTACCGCTACGGGTGGGCATGAGCCTGGTCAAGCAAATCTCTCCAGTCTGTCTAATCTTAACATAGTATAATACTAACTATAATTACTTATCAAATCGCTTCTGAAAAAACCATGATAGGATATATAGTAACTTACTGTGCAAATTTCAGTTTCATGTCTGCTACTGACAACTGGCCAGAGAATGGATGCATTGGCACAAGATTTATAAAAGACTCGACATCCGCGTCATTCGTTGATTTTAACCATTTATGATAAGCCGGTGTAGATTTGAAAGCAGTCATAAATTGAGAATTATAAGAGTCAAATTCTCTGCTACCTTCTGCAATGAAAACGAAATTGTATAAGTTCATGTATGATAAAGCGACAAAATAATTTCGTTACTGCACCATAGTGCTTAATCCTTTTTTATACTTAACCTGGTAACAAAGACGTCCTTAATAGATAAATTAAGTAACTGGCAAACTGATCACGTATCCATGAATCGCCTTGGGCTGTAGCATGACGCACTATGTGGTCGGCGAATCGCAAGTCTTCAGTGCCCAGAGTAAGCTGCCGCCTCAACGCCATATCAGCAGTTTCTATCCGCATTTCATTTAACTCCACCAGAACATCGAATAGCTGACGTTTTTGTTTGAATAGTACATTAGAAGCCCCCACAACAAATCCCTGTACAGAGCTATCAGACAGCAAATCTAAATATTGTAAAGATAAATATGGCAAACAAAGATATCCATCCTCAAATAAAGGCAATGGCAAACCACACTCAGCATGGTCAATTTGTCCAATTAAATTATACAAGCCATCCACACTCATGTCTCTAGCCATTGTGGGGCTATGTTGTGCATCTGCAACTGACTTAGTTTTATATTTCTCGCCAATACTATGACATTTATCTCTACCCACTGACAAATCTTGCCGATCCACTACATCTGCCAAAATATTTTCATCAAAACTCTGTCTGCTTATTCTATCCTTCTCCTCCAACATATTTCCTGTTTCTTTGGGAGATAACTCTTCATCTATTTGTGAAATGCCATTACAAAAAGTTTCATTTTGATTCAGTACACTTGCATCAACAATGTCATTGCTTTTAGTCTCTAGTCCAGCAGATGATTCAACAATTGGTGATAAAGGTCTTGACAATCTGAAAAAAAAAACAGGTCAAGTGTGAGTCAAACTCATACACCGCGGGGGTTCTGTACCTGTAGCCATTATACCTGCATAATAAAATTGGTAAATATTCACCGTTGACTTTCTTAGGAACTGGTAGACTTAGCAAGTTGAAAATTATACCAGATACTTAGCAAGGTCTTACAACAACAGTAAAGGAAAAATTCCGAAAGATAAAAAAGTTGAAAATGTAGTAATTTTCAAGAAGATCTAAGTTTGCTCATATCTTTTTATCGTGTTGACTCAGGACCTTGATTTTCTTGCTAGGTCCATCCGTTCCTGAGAAAATCGGTAGTGACGCAGGGACAGACAGACGGACAAGAGAGTGTTCTTATAAGGGTTCCTTTTTTATCTTTTAAGGTACTAATAAGAAACATTTAAAAAAAAAAAATTTTTTTGGTTCTACAGAATGGCTTAATACATGGAAGTTATAAGAAGTTCTAGGCTTTTATGAATAGTATAATATATTGATACAAAATATTGAAAAATAGAGTTTTGATTACATTAAACTAGTTGGGTAAAAACATGCCATTTTTAAAGTATATAACTTTAAAAATGGCATGTTTTTACCCACTGAAGTTGGAAAATCAGTAATAAAATTTTATAACACTTTTTCAGTACCCATTAGTGCATATTCATACACATTTAGACTGCACTAACTATTTTTAGATGCTGAAATTAAATTGCTCTAAGAACACTTTTTAAAAAACCTCACCAATGCAACCTTCATAATAAAATATTCATTTAATACACTAACATAGTAATATTAAATTGGAAATTTTTGCAGACAAATAAACAAAATCTTTCGGCGCTGCCGTTTTACCAACTAAGCTAAGTGGCCGAAGACATCTATCTACTTCTTCTATTGCATTTTTAGGAATGCTTAGCGGCAACTAGTGTGCATCCTTTATATGTTAATTTGCTTAACATTAACAAAATGTAACAAACAAGATTTCATAGGGTGACAGAATTTGAATTTACCAATTTACACTAAATATGTTGGAAACTTTTACTAATTCATTTTAAACATAACAACCTATAGACTGGGAAGGTGACATTCAGTAAAGTTAGTGCTAATTGCATCCAGTTTAACTTTAAACGGTGGTTGCATGAAAGGGCAAGCTCGCCCGGATAAGTACCACAACCGCACAGAAGACCGGCGTATAGTGGAAGTATAATACTTTCGCGTTTCGTCTGGTGAGTGAGGTGGCCGGAGCCCAATTTTTCAAAAGGTTGTCAACGCATCTGGAACCCTCGGGTGTAGCAGATGTCCATGGGCGGCGTTATTCACTTAACATCAGGTGAACAGTCTGCTTGTTTGGCAACTTTTCACATAAAAAAAAGGGAAAATATTCATCTTGTTGCCATTAATGCTGATATAATTCTTGATGTTTTAAATAATATGGAAAAAATAAAAGAAATGATTAATAATATAATGTAGAAAATAAATGAGTGCTAAGAGTTACTTATAATTAGAGTTAAAAATTAAATTCCTAACTCACAGCATTGAAAACTTTTTATCACTCTAGTGTAAGTTAATTTCATCAATAGTATTATATACACAGTGGCAATAATTATACATCAGAATTATATTGGAAAGTCTTGTAAAATATTTCTCCTGAAAACACTAAGTAGTAGTATAAATGCATCACTTACATAACATTAGCAGCAAGAGATAGCCCACTTTCTAAACAATTTGGTAATAATGATACTAAAGTTAATAAAGAAGAGGATAGAAGTCCTGCAGGTGCCCCATAAATAAGTACTTTCCTTCGCAGCAACAATAATTTAAAAAGTAGTAGTGCTTTATGCTTCCAACTCTCCACTAATTTCTGTACAGATAAACCTGGAAAAAGAAATAAAAATAAATATATCAAACCACTTTATAAATGTACTAAACATGTTTTTATATTTGGCATATCTGATAAACATACAATTATGTTTTACTTAAGGTGACTCTTTTTTTGTCAATAACATTAATGCATTTATAAACAATGGTTTGTCACTCTAAAATCAATGAATTAGTAAGATAAAAAAAGTTAACAGGTTTTTTTAAATAAGATAAGCTGATTTAAGAGTTTCACAAGATGAAATATCACAGTTATAAAGTACAAATAAACTCACACAAAGGACCATGATCACTTGCAAGGGGTATGACGAGTAGCCTAACCAAAGTAAAGTACAAACATTAGAAATATAATATTTTAAAGAGCATAATGTCTGACCTAATAATGCCAATATTTTTTTTTTGTGTTCTATTATTAATTGAAATTTGGCTTTGGTTATGGTCTATACCCATAGTTAGTTAACTTATGGTCATGGTTGTTTTGTCCCAGATAGGGATCAAACCCTATAGGTCATGGTTGTTTTGTCCCAGATAGGGATCAAACCCTATAGGGTTTAAATGATAATAACCAATACTTTCTTAAAGAAATTCACAAAACTGTGAATACATAAAGTTTTTACAGTTCCATGGCTGCCTCAACAAAATTCATAATTATAATAAATCCATACACATTTTGCATCTATATTCTGTGTAGTAAGAATAATTTAAATTTGAAGTGATTGTTCACTAAGTTTTCTTAAAACAAAAAATCTATTCTAAATAGCAAAATCAAGAAACATACCTTCAAGAGTTTGTTCAATTTGTACAGGACAACTGTTTAAGTGGTTGTATGCATCTTCAAGCAGCTTTGTCTGACAAAAATCACCTTGTAAGAACCAGGCTCTCACTACTAACTCCATTTTAACTGCAAGGCGGCCAAATAGGGGTGCTCGGCAAACTACACATACACTCTTTTGGACAGAGCTCCTTGTCATATCTTCTGTTTTCTGAACAACTTGCTGTTGGTTACATTAACACAAATAATTGTAGTCATATTAGAAAATGAAGAAGCTTTTAAGTCAAAGTCAAATCATTGTAAGGAAAGTTATTTTTGTCTATAGTGCTTCTATTGCAGTTAAGGTACAGTGTTAAGAAACAGAGACAAAATTTTACAAACTTTTATATTCATACATGTGAACATACTTCCACTGGTATCTGGCGGAAACAAGATACTCCATAAACAGTGTGTGCTGGTTCTGTCAATCCAGGTAAATTGAAAAATATTGTATCAGAAAGATAATTATGTGATCCATCTGGTAAAGCTAATGCCGGTAAATGTCGCCATGCTGCAGGCAGCTCGTAGGGTTTACCAGGAATCAACTCAGGGTAACAATGTTCCACCTTAAAAATACAAAGTACATAACTAAGTATACTAAACTAAGGGAACAGAGGTGTAAAAAAGGAATAAAGTTTTCCATAGAATAACCAAGGGCATAAGCAAAACTATTAGATAAATAAATATTACAGTTTATCACTCATAAATTGTACTCTTCTATTAGTAGTCTACTAACACTGCACAAATGAATTTTACCATTTTATACATAACTAATATTTAACAATATTCTAGAATAATAATTATAAATCAAACAAAACGATATCGATTATTGAAAAGGCATGACGCCTACATACCTGGCAGCCCTTTTTGTGATGGAATCCTACCACTATGATATTAAGAATCGGTTCATTAATAAAAGACATTGTACCTTTATATTCTAATAATTTTCAATTGTAGGCCAAACATTTTATAACATTTTTTTTAGAAAAATAATAAACTATTTACGCACAGCGTTTACCACATATTTCAGGTTCATTCAGTTCAGATTCAGACTACCACAGATGTAAAATAGTGCAACCACTCCATTCCATTTCAATCTACATGTCAAAATTGAAAATTTTGGAACCTGTTCTATAATTAAAATAACTCGTAATTATGTGATTTTCACTGAATACCTAAAATCTCCACGTTTTATCTACTTTGTTTTTTTGCGTTTTAGCGGCGTTATCTAATGTGCTTCCCTTAAGCCCGATTTACAATGGTCAAGTGTTTAGTACAATAAACAAGCATAGTGAGTAAGTACATTAGTGTACACCGCCGGATAGTGGCGAGTCAACTTGGCTTGCTTAAAGTTGCAAGGCAGCTGCCTTGCAACTTTACAGAATTATTTTTTAAGTGACTCTATAATCGCTTTCTAATTTTTAACTGATCACATTCCGTAATGCAAACAGTCAAATTATTACAGTGGTCGGAAATAGGCAACAAAATTGTACGTATTTTTAGACGTTGCTGGTCCGTTTCGACAGAAAAATACCACTGTACTTACAGATTTTTTTTGGGCTTGATGAGCTGCTGTTGGCCTTAGGGACCTTTACAGTTTCGCTGGACTTGAGGTGTTCGGGTGATCGGGGCGCCTAGCCTGAACCTCGGCGTATTATTATTACCAGTTATGTTGACTAAGCTCAAGGGCTCCCTAGGGGGCCTCGGCTCGCGCCGTCACGCTGATATTATTACCGGTTTGGGAGGCCGACAAGCTCTTAGAGCACTTTGGCGGACGCTCCATGGAGTGACCAGACTCAAGGGTCGTTGAGAGGGAACCTCGGCTTGGGCTATCACTCAAAATGCGTTTAGCATTCCGATTCGAGGGTGTCCGAGAGGGCCATACCTCTGCTCGATCGGTAGCTATTATCTGACTGGATACTTACCGATTTACATTTTTAGGATAGTGGTAAGTGGCGAGTACAAGTGGCCAGTGGCGGGTACCGGACAAGTGGCTGTTTACACTATAGCAAATAGAGTGGCATTTCCCTTCGAAACGGACGACCAATACTTCCAACTTTGATGCCTGTTGCCGGCCACTGTACTAATTTAACTTTTCACTAGCGCAAGTGATGAGTCAAGTGCCCCGTGGGGATTAAGCGAGTGCGCGAGTGGTGCACTTACACCACAAAATAAATTTTAACTGTTGCAAAATTGCTCCGTTGCCAGGATTGAAAACTGCGACATTTAATGTAAAGTTGTTGTAGTTTTGTGAAACCACGATTTTTAAATATTTTATAATTAAAAGCTTGTTATCCTTTATATAGATAGCAGATATGTATCTGTCATCATATAGTTAACGTAAGAGGTATACTAGTGATTTTCGATTTAATTTAAATAATCTATCAGTTTCAAATAGAGCACCTTGGCGTTTTTACATACGATTTTAAAAGAGACTCGCACAACTAATAGATAATTTAATCAATATAGTATCATAGAATTTATTTGATAATTTTTAACAAAAATTTATTTGTTGTATTTACGCCAAAGATATCCATTAAAATATTTTCATTTAATAATTCATACCAAACTATTAAAAGCTGTTTTAAGAAATCATTCGTATTGAAACTTGAAGTATTAAGTATCGATATAGTTTGTAATAATGTATATTCGTGTTATTTAATATTTCTTTTTCTCGGTAATTAATGTAACACCTATAACAGACAGCGACGCTTCAATAATCTTCAGTTGTTAAATTCACATTTTTGAAATAAAATAATCATCATTTGTAATTTGATGTAAATATTTGTTTTTCATGGGCTAACATCATAATATATATAAAAAAAAATATTGTGCTACAGTTTTTTGGTGTGACCACCATCAGATCACCTTTTCATTGTCTCTGAAATCATTTTTCCTATTCGTCCTTCATAGTTTACACCATAAGATATCTGTGGTATAGGCTTGCAAATTTGGTGAACAAAAAAGTTGTTGTTATTGTTGTGCTATGTGAAAATTGATATGTTTTGTTGCTAAATTAGAAAAAAAATCGATATCTTAGTTCTTCGCTGAAAAAATTCTTCTCTTTTTGTATTAATTAGTAATTAATACAGAACAATTATATTAGTTTACTAAAGCTACTTGTGTACTTTTAGTGACTAAATAGTTACGTCGCCATTTTCGCACCTATTGTCGGAAAATTTTTAATTTTAGTTTTATGTAATATTTACGTAATTATTGACTTTGCAATAAATATATAGTGACTAAAATTGATGTGAATGATTTCGGTATTGATACAGTGTTTTATCACGATTTTGACTGGACATTGCTTCCTAATAAAGGTTAGAATTTTATTTTGTACTTTTTTCTGTATTTACTTCTTTGAAATATACAGGATGGATTTTAAATATAATTTCTATAGCATAAGTGAACATGTTATTGTTTATAATAACCGCGACTAACGGAAGTGTGCGCAAATGTTACAAAATTTTAAAAATTCTCTTTTCAATTTAAAGAAAAATCGTAAGTTACTGAAATTACATCCATTCGTATAGTGATACTATTATTACCCTCAAAACAATCATTTTAGTAAATCGTTTATTATGGTAAAATTGCCATTTTATCTCCTGTAGTCATCTCAGGCAATCATAAGTTATATTTACTTATTATAAACAATTTATCCAATTTAATGTGATTATATATACATATATCAAGAACTCATTGGCAATTAATGTTTCAATATATTTTTGGATGCAGTATTTGACACAAAGCTTAAAAGATTTTAATGCATAGTAAGTTCTCTTCAATCTCAAATTGCATTGACATACAAGTAATGTCTGCCATTTTAATTACAAGTTTTCTTAATTTAAAATTATACATAAGTATGTTTTCTTAATTAAAAAAATATGAATTGAAAATAATATTTATACCATGTTAAATTTGCTAATAAATACTAACTACACTTTTTGTAGTTTTACTTGACAAAAACTAGATGATAATTTATAGTTTTTGATGTATTCATTCTCAAATTTTGTCTTGTAAAAAAAATCATGTTTTTTTAACATTATTTGGATAGACCTATTCAATTTATAAAATAGTCTGAGAATGATTATTTACTACTACTACTTCACTACTAAAAATTATACTAAGTTTATTCATGTAAATAGGTGCAAGATAATAATTAAATTCCTATCAACTCCTTCGGTCCTTAAAACTAATAAAATATATGTGAGAATTCCTCATATGAATTGTTTATAGCTCCTTAAAATAAACTCTTTTTAATTGACAGACATTTATGAAAATTCGTAATAAATGATGCATATATTTAGTAGATATCATTATTTTTTTAAATATTAACAAACATATTTCAAGCAAAAATTATTCTTTAGTCAACTCTTTGAATAGTTGCTAAGGGATACCGATATTTACATATACCTAATTATTTCCTGTTCAACTCTTACCCAATAATTATAATCCACTACTTCCCTAGCATATCTTCAAGGACAACAACTTTTTTGATAAACATCACAATAAAGTATTGTTTATTTGCAGGATTCAATGGAGAACACAGACCCACAGGCATGACTGAAAAGGTACTATACCCAGGTAAGTTTATTCAATATTTATGTTAAATGCCTTCCATATTTTGCTAATAAACAAAACTTAGAATTGAAATAAGTCTTGTGAATGTATTTTTTTTATTACTCATGATAAATAAGACTTTGAAAATGAATAGACCTGTGGGACAAGTCCTCATAACATGTTGTTAGCTTGTTTGACAGAAACAGTAATAATATTTTGTTTAGTATGAGATTTTTGTTCAATGAACCTTGAACTTTTCTACACTTTTTTATATGTCGATAAAGTAAAACAAAAAACCAAAGAAAGCCAAAAAAAGTATGCCTTAGAAAACTTGCTTCATTGATTGCGAAATGCCGCCAACTTAGCTTATAAAAGGCATCTCGCTTACGGTGACGTCGGCGAAAAACAGGGGAGCAGACTTCCGCGACCCATAACACGTGCCTGAATTTCGTCATATCGTTTCACGTTGTTTAAACTTCGTAATATAGTAGGTAATAGCTTTATTAAAAACCGATGGTTCCAATATATGTTTGTTTTCTAAGTTATTGACTCAACTTTATTTATTTAATAATTTAAAAAGAGACATTTAATTCAAGAAAACCGTGTGGTTTGAATTGTAATATAGAAAACTTACAACCCGTAAGAGTCGAGGCTCATTAATTGTTGAATAAATAAGTTTCCCTTACATATAAATAAACATGCACTGCCTCAGTGGATCTAATTAAACCGTTACTATTTTTTTTAATCTAGAGAATTCTAGAAACATCTTTATCGATGTGTAGACGTTTCCTTCACTATTGATGGCCTCGCGCTACGCATGGTCAGATGTTGTACTATCGATATTTCTTGTAAGTGTGCACATGAACATTTTTAATGTACTGCAACGGGCAACGACAACAAATGAATGTAGATTGTCGGTCGTGTGCACTTTCCCAAGTGCCGCAATGTGGTCTGTCGAACTACCGTGCGTGAAGAACGGCGTGAGCTACTGCGATTTGTATAGTGAGTGGGAAATCTCGCCCTTTACGTATTGCAGTTTTACATTTGCTCTGGTTTGAATACACATTTCGATCTATCGATAGTACAACTTGTGAGTAGTGCTTGTGAGAACCGCGAATTATCAAAATTCGAGGCGTAGTATAAACACAATGAAAGCAGATAGGGCAACGGGTGCGAAATTCACCGTCGCGTTACTCACTCTAAGATTTTCAACTAGATATCAGTGATGTTGCTAAATGAAGAATTTTATTTAAGTTTAACATGTTTAATTATGTGATACAAAAAATGAGAACTTGTTCTTCTGGAATTATTAAGGTAAAGGCGACGCAAGGTGCACGTGTCGTAAATGTAAGACGAGTATTGA